TAAATGACAGAATATTTGAAGTTAATTAACCACAGCAGTTACAACAATAAGAAGTTGGATAACTGATAACACCATTCACAGACTGTATATGAACTTTGGTGAAGCAATATGTTAGATGTTGAATACCATAAAAGAAAGAATTCACCAACCTGGACACCAGAAAAGGGTTTGCCAACAGTACCTCCTTTGCGTTTGCCTTTAATGGGATTAGATATTGCCATCACAAACTAGACACAATTGGCCGTTCACATAAAGATGGAAATGAATTAACGAGCAATAAAGTAGTGAGCCGCCACCAGATCAAATTAAGTGACTATGAAGAAAACAAATACCTCTGTCATGCCATAACGTTCTAATAGCCGATGACCTGTAATTGTTTCCCACTGCTGCATGACGGGCAAAGGAAGTGCAGAGGAGCCACACATCTGGAAACACAAACCAATTATTCAGTCATTTCCAAGAATTGGAATACAGTGGAATTACATTCTGAAATTTCAAAAGCGAAAAAAGGAAATAAATAACAAAGATTCTATTCATCACACACGATAGGGTCCTAATTCTGTTTTGTATGGTCTATCCAAATACTTAACGGCCGAGGGGAACCAAGTTTCTTACCATAAGACGCAAGTGCCTTGCTGCTGAAGCAGAGGCTGCTTTCAGTTCTGGATCCATTGCTTCATAACCTTGTATTAATCGTGTATACATAGTAGGAACCTATTTGATGAGAGAATTTTAGAATAAAGTAAAACAAAAACAAACAACCTAAATTACATATCATAAAAGGGGGTTTGGCGTGCGTGCCGTATGGGGAGGGAAGGTGGTTGTGAAAAATGAAAGCTGTTAGTAGACACCATGGTGTTAGTGAATCCTAGCCAAGTATATAAAATGTATCCTAGGCTCCAAGCTATGACCATAAAATCATGAACACTTTGGAGATCTGACATTACATAGAGGTTTTATTGTAAAAGTCTCCACATCGAGGAAGGAGGAAAAGGAGACGATGGCATGCTATTCTGGTTCAAGCACATGGCAAGCAACTAAGGAAACTCGTTAGTGAATGATCTTCCCTGGCAAGCTTAAGAACGAAAGCTCATGTATAAACAATGTACCAGATAAGTAATATGCCAACTCGTGGCAACCATATTTCATTTTTTTTTTTCAACGGAACTATATTGAGTAAAAGAACGACTTACTCCAGTGAACACTGTTATAGCATTATCAGTTTTAGTCCCATCTGTAGGATAAGATTCACGCCATTTCTGCCAAATCCCCCTCACACTGAATTTTGGCATAAAGTCGACCTTAAAAGAAAAGCAGATGCAGTAGCATGAAAATCCTGTCCAAACGGCACATATGCTGCTGGAGAAACAAGTTTGATGTTGTGAACTCTCTTTTAGTAATTACCGTGGAACCAGCATAAAGAGGGGCAAGTAATGCATTGAAGAGCCCATGCACATGTAAGGTACAAGTTAAGGATCAGAAAAATATAAGACTTTCCATCACATTATTTATATCCCATTAGATAAATAACAATGCAAAGGAATGAAACACCAACATAACATATCCGAGAAAAAAATAATGCAGCTGAGGATATGATGAAGTGGCAAACAGTGCAGAAATTGGTCCTTGGACATGTACTCCCATGCCTCTGCTAAAATTTGAATCTGAAACAGTATAAAGACGGAAATAGTTAACTTCCAGAAATCTGAGATCCATAAGGTTGACTTTCTAGTAACTAATAACTTCCAATCAAGAGAACCTTCAACCTCCCAAATTACTGACGGTTGAAAAGAAAAGATTAGTTATGCAAGTCAGAGAGATCATAAACTCTTCATCATATTTAATCCTAGGTGGTATCATCTCTCAGCAATAGATGCACTGACACAAGTATAATCAGAATATCTGATCCTAAGAATTGATAGATTAGATAGAAATTCTCTAACTACAGAAGATCAAGAAAATTCAAAGCAAATTGTGTAATTTACCAGCCACGACCAAGCTCTCTGGTAGGCATGGCATCTACTGGGCCTTAATTTATAGCATATCAAGTTGCCAACAGAACATGAAAGCAAAATGTAACAGAGAAGTAGATGAATGAAGCAGATTAAATATATCCATAGTTAGACCATAAATCCAACATAAGGTATCACTCCCAGCAGGTAAGTTAATAAGAAACAACCAGGCAGAAACAACTTAAAAGTCGTCTTTATCACAACTTCCTAATAGGACCAGAATACAGAACATTAAATCTTGAACAGACAAGAACCTGAGCTAAAATTCCTTTGTGTGTATGGACTACTCCTTTTGGTTTCCCTGTTGTACCACTGGTGTACAAGATCATAGCTGGATCCTCACCTGCAAGGTAACATTAAAAAGGATTGTTGATGAGCTCTAACAATCTCAATGCAGAAATAAACAACCATATCAAAAGACAGTTCCTTTATCTCACCACAGTTTGTCATTTGAGGCAAATTTCTAGGACCATCAGACACCATATCTTTTGGAGGGTCATGCTTGGTCGATAAATCGGCATCAGGAATAGGAGGAATAAGAGACAAACAGGCACCAGTTTTAACTGCAATTGTGTTCATAAGTTCTTGGTGGTCTTCAGTACTCAGAATTACGGAGATGTCCTACAGATCAAATTTGTACAAGGATTTTTGTAAATCATGAAACAAGAGAATAAGTGGCCAGGACCTTGTGTTCTGGTAGATGCAGTGGAAGGAAATATTCAACCTGATTGAAGATGACCTAATTGTATGAGGTTAGAAGAATAACCAGAAGACAAATGCAAGCTATATTATTTATGTTAAGTATGAGAAAGGGTAACACATCATCGTCTATGTATCTCAAATATCTCGTGAGTCATGGAAAAGCTGAGCAGCAATGACAGAAAGAAGATTCATGGACAAACCGAGTCGTTCATCACATGTAGCAGTTCGGTTTCCGGGTAACTTAACGCAAGAGGGACTGCAACACCTCCACTTAGCCAAGTCCCTAGTATTCCAGCAACAAACTCAGCACAGGGTTTGGCTACAATTCCTACTCTTGCTCCATCAAGATCCACATTTCTTTTTATGCCATTGCCCTAAAAAGGTGGAAGCATTTGAATAGTAACGCAATGCAGGAAAGGACAAATATCTAGATGGCTACGAAATTGGAAGAACAATGTAAACAGGAGAAAAAAAACAGTGTCTTGACAAACTAGAAAGCATTCTCCATTCAAGTTATAACCAAAGGAAGACAGATGCAACTTTAAATTATTTTGGAGTTAATATGTGAAAACTCACAATTTTAAGATCTAGGTTGCTTAACAAATTTGATGTCCTCCTTGCAGATGATATCAGTTGAAGGTAAGTATAGCTCTTCTCATCAGCTCGTATTGCAATATTCTCCTGGGACTCAGGTCCCTTGCTGGCAACTTCTTTAACCAGCTCCATATAGATACTAATATTTGAAGCTGTAATATGAAAGTAGGCAAACGAAAATTATCTAAATTTTCATCAGTATCAGCCATCTCTAACTTTTTGAAGCACAAAAGAACAGGAGATATGCAGCACGATCCTGGATCAATACTGTACCTTTGCGTGTGATAATCAGCAAACAATACAAAAAGTACACCAAGAATACAGAAGATTGTTCCAGATGCAACTTGCCATCAAACGCATTTAAGAGATCAAATAGAAAGGGAAACAAAAACAAATCAAAAAAGTCTAACCTTATACACTAGATATATTATCTTCAAAGAATTTCATGGGAGTAAAAGAGCCAATCAAATACATTAAATTTTGAAAGGAGCCAATACGTACTATTTTTTCTTTCCATGTTTCTGATTCATTTACTAGTTTGCAAAATTAGTCATTTCGTACTACTAATTAATACTAATAAAACTCAGTTGCTAAGATTGCTTGAGCAAAGTCTAACCTTAATTGATAAACAATGCCATACCACACGGCAAGAAAATCAATCTCATTGAATTCCACTCCGCCAGTTTCAGAAAATTTCAGAGTTCTGGTCCCTAAACCATTTTCCAACCCCCAAAAATGTCAATAAATTTCAATCACCAAATCATACAGTTGAAGAATCTCCATTTTGATCGGGTGATAGCATATACATGGCTAAGATAATCTATACGCACACAGAAGCAAACACAGAAAAGACGAACTCAAATCGACAAGTTTCGATAAACTTACCAGAAGAGAATAACCGAGATTGGGAGGAGAGAAAAATAGGGTTTTTATGAGAAGAAAAACAATGTCGAATAGCTGTATAGGAGCGACACAAAGTGAAGCGAAATGGAGCGTAAAACAGAGGTGTAGACGACCTGAGGGTGAGAAAGTGGTTGAGTAACTTAAATGAGCTCATGTTTTTAGTTGGCAAGTTTTATTACTACAAGCAACAACCCCAACAAAAAACGAGTTAAAAACGTAATCAATTTATGGCCATCCAACTGTTTTGGTTGTCATTACTGCACGTGGCGACCCTCTATATTTTCTGTTTCCTCCATTAGTCTCAATCATTACCGCCGGCAGTGTTGGGTTTGGGGTTATGATCGGAGAAACCTCAAAATGTTTTGGACGTAAAAGAAAACAGAGCAAAAGGCGGGGCGGGGGGTTTATCCGGTTATAAATGGTTGCTGCCCGATACCGTTAACTGGTATTTGAAGTTTTGAACTCCGAACAAGACAACCAAGTACTTTAATGTATTCGGAGCATAGAAATATGGATTTGGGTAAAGGGTAGCACTTACTATTTTTATTTTTCCATTTTACCCTTTTTTGGGAGATAAACTCCCCTTCGCCTATTGATTTTGGCTATTTTTTTATCAACTTTTTAAAAATATTATTTATTCATAAAATATAATTAATTTTTTTTTTTTTTAAGTTTCAAAAAAATTGATTTGAGACAGTTTATAGGTGAATTTTTTTCTTTCATCCATAAAATTTTAAGTTTTCTTCAAATAAAATTCATGTCCAAAGTCTAAACACAACTTCAACTTCAAAAAATATTTTTCAATACAATTTAAAAAAAAAAAAAAACATATTTCAACTAAATCTATATCTAATCGCTAGTAACATATTTTGTCATTTCCCTTTTTTCCTATGGCGACTACCACGTAGTTCTTCGACTAATTAATGGACAAGTTATTACAATTAGAATTAGCAGGCACGAGCTGCTGAATTTTATCCATCTGGAATTAATAAAAAAATCATTGTTGACTATGTAAAAGATACTTCATTTTATTAAATAGAAAGAGAAGATAGTTGCACTTGCACCTAATTTTTTTTTATTCTTTTTGTTAAAAATATCATGAGGTCATGAGTTCGAGCCGTTAAAACAGTCTCTTACATAAATGCAGGGTAAGGTTACGTACAATAGATGACCCTTGTGGTCCGGCTTTCTCCTGACCCACGCTATCGAGCTTAATGCGATGGGCTGCCCTTTTTCGTTAAAAATGCAAGAAGGGTGACGTGTTTTTATTGCATGTTCTATTTTATTGAAAAGATAAACAATGGAGTAATTCTTTTCATAGTTACGCCCAAAGGTCATATTTTTGCTCAATAATTAGTGAATATTTAAGAAAAAAGAAACTGGACAACGTATAATTTTTCGGAGAAGGGATACAATTGAAAGGCCTTGTTAGGACATTTTAAGACCGTAGGCGAACTACATTTAACAGTTTGTTTGCCAAAACAAGGAATAGGGGCTAGAGGCATTTCTTTCAGTAAAATCAAAAATCCGATTGAAATGGGAAAAATATTACAATAGCAAAGTGCTAGAATTAAAGGATGCAAACTTCAAACATGAATAGAATTTGGAAACAATGAGGAAAAAATAAAATTACAAACTTAAATTAAACAATAACAAATCAGTCTTCAATTTACTTGGACATGGATTGTACTTTGGGAGCTTGATTTATTTGCTGATTCCCATACTGCTGCTGAGCAAGTATGCCATTCCAACCTGCAGTAAGTTTTACACACACATGTCAGCAAATTGTTTGCTTCTCTTTAAAATGTTACTTGTAATAAGCACATAAGCAAATCCAGGACGAGTTATGTGGATTCAATTGAACCATTATTTCTAACTTGAATTATGTATACTCAAAAGCGTCTAAAATGCATACGTATAGTTATACCAAACTCATTCTGACTTTACTGACTCTAGTTCCTAGATTCGCCAGTGACTAAGTAAAACCATAATATTAAGGATGATTTCATACCTAGAGCTGGATCAAGGCCCCTAATCTGAAGCTCTCTGAACTCTTGACAAAGTGAACAACATGGACAAAAGATGTGAGAAACAACATCTGAATAGGGAGCTTCCACCAGATTGTACCTTCGCCTCAGTTTTGTTCTATAGTTGGAGCCCATAACCCATTGAGAGCAAACTGCAGGCATCATCAAGAGGTATATGAAAGTCCCCAATGGACACGCTGCAACCAAAACATAAAGAGTTAACATACACTTTTACAAGGCAATTGAACAGAATTCAAATGGATTTTTAAGAGGATTTAATTACTCGTTTCTCCTGCATCTTGAACTTCAGCTATCTGCCCGAACGTCAAACAAGGTAAAAATGCTGTCGTAGTAGCTGCACACAAACAAGAATGTTAATATCGTTATTACTTCCGCCAGATAAAGAGAGATTGATTTTTTTTTTTTTTTTTTTTTTTTTTTTTTTTAGCTTTAGCCTTCGGACATCCGATACTCATTGGTCCGACGAATCCAAAATCGTGCCTTAAAAGTCCACTATGGAGTAATTATCGCTTCCTACCAAACAGACCATATTCCTAGGCCTCGAACTGAGACATCTGGTTAAGTAATGAGGAATCCTTATCATTCCATCACACCCTCTGACAGTGAAAGTTTAACGTGATACACTACTCCAGGGTAAGACTTGATTGACACTAAGATTATATACATGTTAAAGGAGAAAAAGTGTAAATAATTTACCATTAGTTTGGTCCAAATGACAATCAAATAAGCCAGTGCTCCACGGAGCTCCTGTTAGTGTTGGTGTTGGTGTGTGTACAGCTCCTTGATATTTTGCAGGATACGAGGCACCGGCCACTGGCTGAGGATCTTCAACTTCATTAGAGGAATCAATTCTACCCATTGTATCTTAAGCTTTGGAATCTGAGCAGGAAGAAGAGAAATGAGGTCCTTATATATTTTGAAGGATTTGGTCAATATACTTGATAAGCAAGAAGAAAGCTTGCGTAGACTTTGAAAAACTAATCGATTAGACACTTCAAATCCGCTATAGTCAATGGCACTCCCTTTAATTATACTACCATTTAGACTTTTATCTAATCACCGAGTTGGAAAAGGATTTCCAATGTATTGACTTCAAATCAAAACTATGCTACTATAAGAAGCCCAGTTGGCTAAGGTCACATGCAACTAGCCGATTTTTCTGGGTAAATGCACACTGCAAAGTCATTGGTATGATTAAGTCAATTGTCTTTGTTTTGCTCATTTTGTAATTTGTAGATGGGTAAGAAAGCTGCGACTATATTCTTTTTTCAACTTCTTTCTAACACACCGTAGTGTGAATGTGAATAACTTCAATCTCCGTATTGCGATTAAAGAAATTTGTTGCCGCTAAATTTTTGAACTACAAAATGGTAGATAGCAAGTTTGTTATTACCCAAGTCCAGGAATTGCAAGTGATTATTCACGATCTCCTTGCTGAAGGTATAAGTCAAATTAATACTAAAAGTATTAATTATATTGTTTTTACTAACGGAATTTTCATTGAAGGTCTTGTCATCAATGAAGCATTCCAAGTTGCAGCGATGATTGAGAAGTTGCCTCCTTTGTGGAAGGACTTCAAAAACTACTTGAAACACAAACACAAGGAGATGTCCCTTGAAGATCTCATTGTTAGGTTGAGAATCGAAGAGGACAACAAAGCTGCTGAAAAGAAAGGCCGTGGAAACTCAACAATAATGGGAGCAAACATTGTTGAGGATACTCCTCAAAATAATAGAAAGAGGAAGAAGGCTTCTGGACCGAAATGCAACCTGGTGGGAAATCCTAAGGAGTGGTGAATTGATTCTGGAGTCACTCGCCATGTTTGTGCTGTTAGAGAAGCGTTTGCTACATATGCTCCTGTTGGACCCGAAGAGACGCTTTCTATGGGAAATTCTGCAACGGCCAAAATTGAAGGATGTGGGAAGATATTTCTGAAAATGACTTCTGGTAACGTGGTGACTTTGAACAACGTCCTTCATGTCCCATAGATTAGAAAGAACTTAGTCTCTGTTGGACTTCTTGTTAAGAACGGGTTTAAGTGTGTTTTTGTATCCGATAAGATTGTAATAGGAAAAGGTTACCTCACTAAGGGCCTTTTCAAGCTGAATGTAACGGTTGTTGAGAATAATAATAAAATTTCAGCTTCTTACTTACTTACTTGAGTCAAATGAATTATGGCATATACGTTTGGGTCATGTCAATTATAAAACCTTGCGAAAAATGATTAATTTGGAAGTATTGCCTATGTTTGAATGCGACAAATCAAAATGTCAAATATGTATGGAATCTAAGTATGTTAAACATCCTTATAAGTCAGTTGAAAGAAATTCAAATCCTTTAGACTTAATTCACACAGATATTTGCGACATGAAATCAATACCATCTCGCGGTGGAAAGAAGTATTTCATAACTTTTATTGACGACAATACTCGATATTGCTATATTTACTTACTTAATAGTAAAGATGAAGCAATAGACGCATTGAGGCAATACAAAAATGAAGTTGAAACGCAACTTAACAAGAAAATCAAAATGATAAGAAGTGATAGGGGTGGTGAATATGAATCTCCTTTTGAAGAAATATGTTTAGAATATGGAATTATTCATCAAACAACGGCCCCTTACACGCCCCAATCCAATGGGATTGCGGAAAGAAAGAATCGTTCAATAAAGGAGATGATGAACGCATTGTTGATAAGTTCTGGTTTGTCACAAAACTTGTGGGGGGGAGCCGTTCTTACGGCTAACCGGATATTAAATCGAGTACCTCATAGCAAAACACAATCCATTCCATATGAAAAATGGAAAGGAAGGAAGCTAATCTTGAATTATTTTAAAGTGTGGGAGTGTTTGGCAAAAGAGTAAAAATATGACCGAAAACCGTTTGATTGTGTTTTCATAGGATATGCGATCAATAGTAAAGCATATCGATTTCTGGTTCATAAATCAGAAAATCCTGACATTCATAATAATATGGCTATAGAATCACATAATGCTGAGTTCTTTGAAAATATATATCCGTATAAAAAGGAATGTGAGTCGATTGGTGAATGATTTAAACGACTTCGGAAGAAACAAAAGAAAGTATATTTAATTAGGAGGATCCAAGACGTAGTAAACGTCAAAGAACGTCTATTTCATTTGGACCAGATTTTGTGACTTTCTTATTGGAAAATAAGCCTCGGACATTTAAAGAAGTTATGTCTTCTTCGGAATCATTGTTGGAAAGAGGCAGTCAATAGTGAAACAGAATCCATATTACACAACCATATATGGGAATTGGTTGATCTTCCTCTTGGAAATAAACCTTTGGGTTCTAAATGGATTTTTAAGAGGAAAATCAAAGATGATGGCACTATTGATAAATATAAGGCAAGACTTGTAGTCAAAGGGTATAGACAACGAGAAGGTCTTGATTATTTTGATACATACTCTCCAGTTACAAGAATTACATCCATACGAATGTTAGTAGCATTAGTTGCAGTTTATGGTCTTGAAATTCATCAAATAGACGTTAAGACGGCCTTCTTAAATGGAGATTTGGAGGAAGAAATCTACATGGAACAACCTGAAGGGTTTGTGGTTCCAGGTAAAGAAAAGAAGGTATGTAGACTTCTTAAGTCCCTTTACGGACTAAAACAAGCACCCAAACAATGGCATGCGAAATTTGACCAAACAATGTTGTCAAATGGTTTTAAGATAAATGAATGTGATAAATGCGTGTACATTAAAAATGTTCCAAATCACATAGTCATTGTTTGCCTATATGTGGATGATATGTTGATAATGAGTAATGACATTGCCAATATAAATGCGACTAAGCGTATGCTAACTAGCAAGTTTGATATGAAGGACTTGGGAGTTGCTGATTTAATTCTTGGGATTAAGATCCATAAGACTCCTCAAGGTCTGGCATTGTCACAATCTCATTATATTAAGACAGTACTTGAAAAATTCAAGCACTTAGAGTTTAAAGTTGCAAAGACTCCAATTGACGTGAATCTTGCATTAGCAAAGAACAAAGGCCAAAGCATATCACAATTGGATTATGCTCGTGTGTTGGGATGCTTAATGTATATCATGAATTGTACACAACCAGATATAGCTTGTGCTATAAGTAAATTGAGTCGATACACGAGCAATCCAGGTCAATCTCATTGGATGGCAATGAAACAAGTTTTGGGATATTTAGAACATACCCAGGACTTTGCTTTGCACTACAGTAAATATCATGTAGTGATTGAGGAATACTGTGATGCAAATCGGATCACTGGTTCAACTGATTCTAAGTCCACAAGTGGATATGTATTCACTATTGGTGAAGGAGCGGTACCTTGGAAGTCGTCCAAGCAAACTTGTATTACCCGCTCTACAATGGAGGCTGAGTTCATAGCCTTAGATAAAGCCGGTGAAGAAGCTGAATGGCTCCGGAATTTCTTGGAAGACATTCCATTTTGGCCCAAACCGTTGGCACCAATATGCATACATTATGATAGTCAAGCGGCAATTGGAAGAGCTGGGAGCGTGATGTATAACGGTAAATCTCGTCATATACGACGAAGACATAAAACCGTTAGGCAATTACTCTCTAGAGGAATTATCACGATTGACTATGTAAAGTCAAGCGATAATGTGTCGGATCCACTTACAAAAGGCCTAACTAGAGAGGTAGTTGAGAAATCATCGAGGGGAATGGAACTATGGCCGAGAACAAGCCATTGTGAAGGTAACTCTACCTAGAAGACTGGAGATCCCAAGATCTAGGTTCAAGGAGATCAAACAAAGTCATTAATGACGGTTCAACATTGTCAACTAAAATTTTGGTCCATTCTCGTAATGAGACAATGTTCAGTACCAAGGATAAAGCATTAAGGCTTTTTAATGATTTCTAAATTTGATACGGGGTATATCAAATAGTGTATCTACGGGATGACACGTTTAGGAATCACCTATGTAAGTGTGAAGTGTTAGCCGCTTCAAGGAGAATTTTGTAAGGCCAGTTCTCTACGCACTTATGAAACCAGGCGGTGTTCATGGCTGAAACAAACACAACAATGAGAGCCAAAGACGGTTAAGGATTGGTTGTGTGACTTATGGTTGTCCAGGTATACACCAAAGTTTGACGGTTCAAAGATATCAAATCTACCGATTGACCGAGTATACCCGATATAAGTTCACTACGGAATGTTCAAAGGGAAACCTACTTATCCAGATGCAATTAATTCTTGCTTGCGAATCACACAGTTTTTCATGCATATTTCCATGATATAGCCATTCCCCGTTCATGTGGGGGATTGTTGGGTTTTTAAGCTTAAATGTAGCTTAAAAGAGGGTGAATGGGAAATGGAGGGAAATTGAAAATATTTGAATTTCCCTCCCTGACAAAGGGATATTGTCCCATTGGAAGAGGAAAATGTTTTGATGGGTATATATACAATTGCTCTTCTTCTAGCTCTTAAAGAGTTAAGAAGAAGGCAAGCCTCGCGTCGTCGTCGCTTGCTCGGGCTTCAGATTTGGATTTGGTCAAATGATCGATTGATTGATTAATTTTTTGGACCAAATTTATTTGTTAATAGTAAATATTAACATAAATGTTATTAAATATCCGTTTTTCTTGTAAACGAAAAATTAATATTAAATCCAACGGAACATTATATGACCTTCGGTTTTTGTAAAAGCCATTTACATTATGCCCGTTTTACACAAACATCACTTCTGAATAGTTGCACCTCTTCAGTTTTGAAGAGTCGCACCTCTTCAGTTTAAGCTCAACATTGGCTATAAATACCATTCCATTCTCTCATATATTTTTTTTTTAAAAATACGAATTTCTGAGTTCTCCTCCTTTCTTCTGCATTGTTTTAACTACAAAGAAAGCAACAGTAAGTGTGATTTGCTACCGATCTTTGTGTTCGTTGTAACACTGGGGTTTGAAGTACCGCTACACCTGTGTGCAATTCGTTC